TTACAGTTTACCAAACACCTCACCAAATCAATCATCTCAAGGAGAATTTAAACCCACATTCCAATTAATCGTTCTTTCTTGTCCATCACATTCATTCTGATTTATTTTTTGTGCATTTGCTGAAGAATATCAGACTATTAAAGAATGTTATCATGTACTGTGTTGACGAGGTGCCTCTAGAAAGGTTTTAATGGGGTGGCCAAAACTGAAAACAGTTCCAGAAACTCTTTTTTGCTGTTGTTGTAAAAGAGCAATTTGAAACATTTACCAATATAAGAGCTAAGGAATTTCTAACTGATGTACCTCAAACACAGCTAATAATACTGAGTTATAATTTGTTTATTATATTTATATACACATATAATATTATCCTTACATTACACTTTTTCTCCTTTTACTTAAAAAGGTCAAAAGTGCATCTTTAACTTGAAGAGGAACATTGAACAAAACATTTACTAGAAAAAAAAAAGCTTTTTTTGTAAAGTCACCACTTCTGATTATTTTAAAACTATTTTTGTTGCCAATTCTTTTAACAAGCTCAAGTGGCTCAGTTGGTGAAGCTGTTGACGCCCAGGGAGAAGGTCGCCAGGGTCAAATCCAGGACCTTTCAGTTTGCATGTTCTTTCTGTGCATGCGTGGGTTTTCTCACATTTCCCTCCCACAAACCAAAAAACATGACTAATTGGTATCTCTAAATTGTCTCTATGTGAGAGAGTGAATGGTTGTTTGTCTCCACAGCCCTGTGAAGGACTTGCAGCCCGTCCAGGGTGAACCCCGCCCCTCACGCTGTGACTGCTGGACATGGACACCAGTGACCTTGAAAGGAAGAAATGGATAAAAGACAATGGACTACATGCTCAGAAACACTTCTGTTTATTACTAATCTCAAATAGTTTGGGGAAATTAAAAAAGCTAGGTACTCAAGAGGATAAATCTGTCCCTACTAAGTGGGGACCAGTGATTTTTTTTAGTGGTGGCCATTGCCCCGTCTGGGTACCATCCTTATAGCACCCCTGAGATGCAAGAAACAGCACAGCTGGAACAGACACGCTGGGACCTTCAACCTAACGTTGCTGTGTTTGGCATTTTTTGTGCATTGCTCTTTGATGTCCTAACTATAAAAAATATATATAGTTTTTGTTGATTTGACACTCGAGAGGAGAGCAAATAAGCACAGAAAGGAAGGAGGTCAGATCAAAGTGTATTGGCAGTCCACACAGCTGCAGCCTCAACTGCTGGCCTGGTAACATGCCCCAGATAAACTGTCAAGGGGTTAATTTAGGGAGATTAGTGCTTGTACATATTCGTATTCATACATCTGTACTCTAAAACCTAAGTTTGTTTTATGAAAACAAATAAAATAAAAACAATAGTAATAAAACAGAATTTAAAAAAGCTCCATTTAATCATAAATTTAATTTATGATTGAATTTATGATTAAATCATAAATTTAATTTATTTCATTTTATTTCCGATGGATGTAATTGACATTTTTTTGTTTGTCTCTTTAGAGTGAAACTTTCAAAAACACAGCTGTGTCATTTGAATATTTCTCCCCAAGGGTCCTGATTATCGGTAACACAATTATGATGCAACAAATGTTACTTGTTTCAAGATACTAATTTCATGACCCAATGAATGCGTTAATTACATATTAGTATGTAATTGTATATTTTAATTTAGAAACATACCTCAGACATTTTAATGTTATCTTTATAGGTTATCCCTTGACAGTTTAAATAGACCATAAGATTTTTTTTAAATTAAGCTTTTATTATGGCATTGCTTGATTTTAAACACAATTTTCCCATTTTTATTTAATTGAATCTATTAAAGATATACCATTGTTAGAAAAAAGTCTGTTTCTAAAAACATGACTTACAGAAACAGTTTATCTACTTTTAATTGTAAAGGTTTTTGATCTGAAAATACTACTTCTTTTGTCCTCCAATTTTTCCAAAGATTTTTGTTGTACTGTTTCTACTGCAATTTTTTTTCATAAAGTTGTACCAAACATTAACATAAAATCTCAGCTAAATGTCATCGATGGAAACCCACCAAACATTTGATTTCAATTACTAAATCGGAACATTGGAACCATGACGCAGCACATATTCCCTTCTTGTCCGTAAGCTCCACCCCCTTTACATAATCACGGAAGTTCTGCCACGGCAAGGCTGGGGCCATAGTTATAAATAACTAGAYACCTCATAGCGGACACAATCGCATCGCCATATTGGATGGGGGTCCCATCACTGGAGGCAGCACTGGAGCAAGCGACCATGCCTTTATTTGGTGCATTAATCTACGAAGATGAAATCAGATCACACGGAATTACATTTTATAAGTAAGCCTGAAGAATAGTTTTGGTTATTTAACATTTATAATAGTTTAATCATTGTAGCTAATGTTATTTGTCAATCATCAAAATGATAACAGCAGGAACTGGTTTTCTTTATCTCTTCCTGGTTTTTTTCTTCACATAGACCTCGACATACTGAGAAGTTCTAATCAGAACAGAGGGTTTTGTTGCTCATTCAAACTCTGGAGAGAGCCCTTCAAGACAGATGACTGACAGGATTAGATGTGATGTTAAAATGTAAATAACGCTTTAGTATACACTGCAGCACCTGCAGCCACAGTAAATAAAGGCTGTGCCACTATTTTATCTGTTTGGTATCTCATGGATTTGTTTTTTGTAAATGAACAAATTTCATTAATCTAAGTTAAATAATTCAGCATTTAAGTACTTTAATCAAACAATTTTGCATCATTTCATATTAGGGTAAATATTATATACAGTGCACATACATAGTTAACATTTTGTAATAGTTTATTCTATCATTTGCAATAATTAAACTTTTTGTTTCTTTAGAGGCAGCTGCAGTTGTCCTGCCCCTCATTGTAAACAGCCCCTCATTGTAAACAGCCCTTCAGTGTAAACAGCCCCTCAGTGTAAACAGCCCCTCAGTGTAAACAGNCCCTCAGTGTAAACAGCCCCTCAGTGTAAACAGTCCCTCAGTGTAAACAGCCCCTCAGTGTAAACAGCCCCTCAGTGTAAACAGCTCAGCTGCAACAAGAAGTCACAGCTGCATGAGGTCACACCATGTTGCATGTCAGCAGAGGGACAAGTTTAACTTTATAATTCAATTTGTGATGTTTTCCAATAGTTTAGTATTATGTGATTGTAAATATTTATTTTCTTAGATTACAATGAAGTGTTTCTTTGATATGTTTTATCAGTTAATCTGTTAATTTTTCAGTTCATAAATTGGTACCTTTATTAAATTTTGTTATGTTAAACTCTTTTATTGGCCCAATGGCATTTTTTTTTATTTATTTTTGTAAATAAATAAGAAACATTTTATGAACAATCTGCTGCGTCTCTCTCTGGGAACCCTCAAACCATACATATGAAGATGAAATTTTTGTTTACATTTTGCTGATGTTTGTTTTCTGACTCACTGATTTAACATTATATATATTAAAAGTAAGAGCTTTCATCATGAAATACTTTTTTATTCTCTTAAATTGTCTTTCTTTACACAGCAATAACAATAATTGATTCATATTTGATTTATTGTGCTGTGAATGCATGCACACACACACACAC